TTATCATTACATTAGAACATCATAATCAATCACAAGAATCTTCAAGCTTTCACACAACAATTGAAGCAACTGAAAATCCTTTTCCTTGTCTGTCAAAAAAAAAAATTAGAAATAAAATGATTGTGAAAAACAAAAAAATAGGTGCAAATTTTCATCATGAAGATGCAACAACTCAATTAAGTGAAACATAAATAGCATTCAGCATATATAGTCTTCAATCCTAATATGCTAATCTTCTTTATTTTCTTTTGTATATACATTTCTATCTGAAACTCACTTGCTCGACTAATAATCTAGATCAGAAGGACATGTCAGAACTAGAGGAGGCGGATGTCCTTTATATAAGTTGTTCATCCTGTACGTGGAACCGAACGAACCAATTGAAAATCTGAATTTTTTAACTAACCTCTTCGCAATCCATTCAATAAGGTTAGAGATGGTTGGAGCCAATCATCAGAAGTGCAAATAGCACAAGCAAAACCAAAAAACAAGTTCCTTAAATATTAGAAAATTATTTTTCTAGTGGAAGAAGTAATCAAAACAAGTTTCACTAGTGACATTTCATATTAATTGTCTTCACCACCCTCCAGCACACCTCATATTCACCTCCACCCCCGTAACACCCATCTCCACCACCCCACGACCCTAGTCCTACCCCTGATCTCCATCTCACATACTCATATTTATCTAAATCATATACAAATATTTTTAAAATAAAAAATTACCAACTTATCAAACACAGAAAAATAAATAAAAATTCGACTTATTTTTATGCTGAAATACATTTTCCATCCTACCAAACACACTGTGCTGATAGAACCACAATTTTTCACCACAAGTCAGATACTACCTTACTTAAGTAACAGCAATATAATTGAATGTGCCTTGCTAAAATTACAACGCTTGCTCAAACAATTTTTCTGGACAAGAGAAGTTGCTTACCCAATAAGGCATTGCAAACATCACTTTCTTGCAACACAACTTGTGTTGTATACAGATATCATGTGATATTGTACTTATGCAATGGCCACATGATCAAAATCATTTTGAGAGGAGCCACCAAATCACAACAAAAACAGTATAATTTCACGAGTGGATCAAGATTGAATAAATGTACATAAACTTTTGAATAAAATGCACATAAACTTTAATCTGATGACGAATTCAGAATTTTAACTAGGAGGATCCGCCCCCCTAGATCTTCCCTTAGACCTTATTCCTACCTTTGTTGGGTAGAATCATTATTTTCGAAAAACTCTCAACTCAAGAGATTCTCGGAGCAGGAAAAATATAATAGCAAGATACAAACCAATCACATGTATCCCTCTAAATACTTTTTGCCACTCTTCATAAAGAGTTGCCAACTATTTGTCTCATCCATGTACTTAATGTCACATTGAGTCCTGCTAAATTAACTAAAAGAATAACCATTCCATTCGTTTCACTTTATTCTATCATAGTTTGACTTGACATAAAATTTAATAAAATAAAATAAAAAAACCTTTTAATATGAACATAAAAGATTTAAAACTTATAATTTTGAACACGTCGTAATACTTGTGTCAAATGTGGCTATAAAAACTTCTCGTTAAGGAAATATAGAAATCTATCATTTTATCGGAAAACTAATAAAGAATAGTGCCAAACAAAGTACACTACAAAAAAGGCCTAATTAGTAAGTAAGTACCAACTAAAATATCCGTTTTGTAAATCGATCAAGTTCGGTTGGTAAATTGAGTTACTAATACCAACGAAAATTAAGCCGTAGGCTTAAGGTCTGGTAAATTTTGCCAACCAATTTATAATCGTTGGCAAAATCACTTCCTCCATCTCAAATTATCTATCATAATTAATTTTTAAAAATATTATCTCAAATTATCTATCGTAATTAATTTTTAAAAATATTATCTCAAATTATTTATTATTTTAGAAGTTCAAGATAAATTATTATTTTTTCCTTAATAGTTATTGTTCTTGAAGACTACAAACACTTCAATTATGAGTGATGTTATGATTGTTCAATGCTTAGCTAATTAACAACTTCTCATTATTAATGTTTCTCAAAGGTATGTGTAAAAGAGAATCACGATAGATAATTTGAGACGGAGGAAGTGATAGTCTATGCTGCTTGGACACAACAAAATGTTGTTGTATTCGTGACAATCCCCCAAAAGTCAAGTCTACTACTTTTGAAGATTCACAGATATACTTACCATATTTTAGCAAAGTTCGAACAACATAGCTACCAATAACTATATCAATACTCAAACCAAAAAAGAGGCTACACAAGACTAACTAAGCAAAAAACAAGGATATATAAATGAATTAATGTCACAAAATCTTACATGAGTTGGAGAGTGTTTTTGATGGTAAGTTTGATCATTGTTTTGTGTTGAATGGCTTGTATTCACATTATTATTATTACTTGTAGTTGAGATGGAATTGAAATCCTCCTCATTTCCAAGACTAGCTCTTGACTTGTTTTGTTTCCTATTCTCTCTTATTTTTGAGAAATCCATTGAGTAGTCTGGTAATGCTCCTTTTTGATCCCAATCCCCAAATTGTGGCACTGATAGCCATGGTGCTGCCTTCTGCTAAAAAAAATGACAAAATATATGGTCAATCAATTGCATATCAACAAAATTATTTGTGATGAGGGATTGTTCGGATGATAAGCATCCTCGCTATAACAAAAGAAATATTAATAATAGATTTTACTTTTAGCGGCATTATTTTGTTGCCGCAAAAACATTTAGCGGTATTTGAGTTAATGTCATTTCATCCAAAGTCGCTAAAACTTTTAGTGACATTTATATAAAGTGTTGGTTAAAAATACTCATATTATATTATTACGGTAAATAATTGCCGCAAAATATTTTATTTTATTATAGTGCCTTCACCTCACCTCCTACCCTGAGATTGTAGGTTCAAATCACCAAAAGAGTAAAAATACAAGAGATCTAAAGAAGAGGTAAAAAGAAGAAACTGATTTTTTTTCAAAATATTTGACATTTAAAAAAAAAAAAGTATTCAAATTCTTCAGAATATTGTGTTTAAGTTATTTACCCTTTACTATTTCAAAATATTTGAGGTTTTAAAAAAATAAAAAAGTATTCAATATTATTTGACGTTTTTAGAAATAACTTGAAAACAATATTTTTCAGAAGGTCTAACTTAAGTATTCAAATTTATCACACCAAGTGATATAGAGCAAGTCATATATATTACTCCATTATTCTTTAGCTTATCACATCACTAATAAACTTATTAATTAATTACAAGAAAATATTTTTAAAAAAATATGTGCATTGTAAATGGTCCAGCTGGAACAGCTAGTACATATATATTTTTCCTTCAATTCTATTGACATTTGCATTTTCAAATTTTTGTGTTGATTTAGCTTTACAATTCAAAGTCTAAATTTGACTAAACGTGAGCCACAAAAAACTTATTTTTAAAAAAAATAGATTTAGATGGAAGAAAAGAAATAGGAAATTATAGTCATGACACCCATAACTTTTTCAGACAACCCAAGAAGAAGAGATGCCATACTAATTTAGTAAACACACGAAAAAGTTACGTTGATGATTCAATGTTTACTATACATATATTAAAATTAATTTTAATTATATATAAATAATGTAATTTTTCACTGAACCTTTTTGACCGTATTTAACTCCGTTCTGCTATGTCAAGAAAAAAATTCTTGAATAATTAGAAAATTACACATACAAATACTCTAGAAGATTTAAATTCACCAAATAGATAAAATTCTTGAATAATTAGGAAAAAGATAAGTGAAGAAAAGAAAAACAAGAAGTTGGAAAGAAACCTAATTAAAGAATTAATAGAGCTATGGCCGGAGGCGCAGAGCTAGGAGGTACAAGAGGATCGATGAAAAATTACATTAGTATATACGAATTCAATTATTTTTGTGCACATACAAAATATAAATGGTAAAAAATTGATCCAATTCTTATGTATCAAGACAATAAATATAAAACCATGTGTTTTATATAAACATTTATGTCATAACTACGGTTAAGTGATACAATTTCACATTATTATTACGGTGAAATTATTTGATTTGATACAAATAATCCATTGTGAATAAATATTTCTCTAGAGAAAGGTAGATAAAACAATAAAGAAAGTTCCAACTCTAAATTCCTACCAAAAAATAAAAGCAATAACAAGCAAAACTTGAGGTGGATAAAGAGTAAAGAATACAAAATATAACAAAATATAGACTTATTTATTTATTTTTTACCTCTTTCCGATCTTCCATTGCAAGCCAAATAATTTAGAAATAATTCTAAAGTTTAATTTATATGAAAAAAAGGGCAAGAAATGAATTGGTTAATATTGGTGTAGAGAAGTTGACAGAAAAGGGGGAAGGAGTAGGGGATTTTGGGGTGTTGTGTTGGTTATCAAGAAGAAATATGGTTATAAAAAGAAATAGAAGAAAACAAGTAGGGCCTTTGGTTATGTCTAAATACCAAAAAGTGTGTGTTCGGTGGGATGAAAAATATTTTTCGAAATAAAATAAGTTAATTTTTTATTTAATTTTTTTTCTAAGTAAAAATATTTATAATAATTTAAATACTATAGGAGGTTGAGATGGGGACCGGCGTGAGTGAGGGGTGTGGATGACTAATGAGGTCGAGTCGACTAAGTCTGGTGAAGATAGAGTGTGTTAGAAACCTAAAAACACATTTGTTTTACCTATTTATACTATAAAAAATATTTTTCTTATTTTTAGGTTAAAAACTATTTTTCTAAATTTTTAACAAATTTGGAAAACATATTTAAAAAATATCTTATTGTTAAATAATAAAAAATTTATTTAAATTTTAAAATTTTTTAAAAAAAATGCTTATTTTTATACAATATCTCCCCCTTACACACATTGTAGACCTCAAATTTTTTTTTGACAAAAATATCATAATTCAACTACCACGTGTGAACTGTGAATGAGCGATAAATAAATTATAAACTGAAAATAAAAAATAAAAAATAAAAAAATCATTTGTGTGATTTGCAGGTAACAATGGCGTTCTCTGCAACTCTTCGATGTTCATCTTCTCTATACCGCCCTTCGAAAAATTCAACAATTTCAAGCGTTTTGCGTCAATCGTCTTCTTCACTGTCTTTTAGATCTTCGCCTTCGTTTTTTAATCGCAAAAAAACATTGTCTATTCGATCTGCTACACTTGAAGGTAATCTTTTATATACTTGAATTTTGATTCAATGAAGTGAAGGAAACCAGAATTGATTAGGATTTGATATTTGTTAGTTTGTTTAATTCATGTTTGAATTAGAATTGTAGTTGAAATTATACATGAATAGGTATTCTAATTTCTAGTTAAAGTAAGTTTTGAGTTATTATGAATAGAGGTGTTTCTAGCTATTTTCTCGTAGCGAAGAAGAGTGGAGAGGAGAATTGTAGTGAAGAATAATGGAGATTATTGATATGTTGAGTAAATTATTTACCTTCACTAAGAACGAAGATTGAAGTTTATGGGTTTGGGATTCTAGTTTTATTAAGTTACTGAGTTCTAAATTAATATTTTGTACATGTTTAATAATAATAGTTTTATTCACTGAGTGTGTTGATGTTGTTGTAATGAATTTTTGGGAAGAAAAAAAGGTTTGAACTCTGGTAGAACCTTTATGCTAGGCTTTAGCTCCGCCCCTGTCTTCACTATTTATTTGCGTTTAGCTAAGTATAGTCAATTTGAAGGATAAAGGAGGAGATTTGTGGTGTATTTATGGTTAGAGTTGAATTAGTTAAAATTAGTTAAACTATGGTAAATCGTCCGAATAGTGAATGATATAGGAAATTTGTATAGGCTATCTTGGGTTTGAGGAGTAGTTGATTTATTGATTACAGTAAATACGAAGGATATAAGCTGTAGACTGTAGTTCTTTGATTGATTATGCTTGAAGGAAGAAGGAAGAGAATTTTTGTAAGCTATGAAGAGCAGCTGAGCAAGGTCTGTTGCAATTTCTCGTCATGCTTCTAGTAGCGAATACGTTGTAAATTTCTATTGGAATAACATCTCACCCTTGAACTGTCTGTTTTGTCCCAAAATAAGCCTTGGAAATGATAGTTGTTGTGTGAAAAACTTGGGTTTAAGACTTTGTCCTGACAGTAATATACTGGAATAGCTGAAATTGGATGACATTAGTTTTTTTTCTTGCTTTAGAGGTCATTTGTGAAAGTATTTTCCTAGATGTGACTGTACATGGTTACTAGCTAACAGAAACATTATCCTTTTGGAAAAAGAACAAACAAGAATCTAGGTTTGATAGTGTTTGGACATTTTAACGTGAATCTGTGCCTGTAAATAGTCTGGAATTCAGGAGAGACTATTTGGCTGATTTTTGAGTTGTCCACGTCAAACTTCTCTGTGAGATACTAGAATATGGGATTTGCTTTTGATATTTTTCAAGGTGAGGAACACTAATTTTTGCATAACATTTAGAAATAGATCAAAAATTGAAAATTTAAAATATAAAAATATATAGATGAAAATTGAATATAAAAGAAAAGAAGCACAAAAATTGATTTAACTATCTAGTCAGATCAATGTGTATATTATATGAGAACTCTTTGGAAAAGTAACCGTTCAAGGTACTTTGAGGAAGGTCTATTACCTGTTTCCAGATTAACCAAATTTTTTGAATACCGTAGCACATGCTTAGGAGAGTTTGAATGTATCACTTCAGAAACGCGTATCAGGAAGATTCAGACGATGTGCTTTCTTTTTCACTTTCCATCATTTAAGATAAGAAGCTGTTTAAAGAAGGTTAAGTGCCATTGGGAAGAAATTGATCAGCTTTGATCACCTTGCTTGAATTTAATTGGTTTTTCTGTTACCTCAATTCTAAAATAAGAAATTTGGATTTTGGGTCGATGAAGTGATGAGCAAGTTGATAAGAGACGGCTGGTAGCAGAATGTTTCACTAAAACCATCATAAAGGAGGTCAAGGGCCTTAGGGCTTGTATTGGTCTGATTATCTCTTCTGTGCTTAAAGCAAGGATGACTTTACTGGCTTTGTACCTTTCATTCATTGAAAGAAAATCATGTGGTGCTTTTTAGGGCACTTAACTTTAACATCAGGGAAAAGGAACAGTCTAATAATAACATCGAAATTTTTTGGGATGTGGGAGTAGAGCCTGAATAGAACATTCTCATTTGTCAAATGATCTTGTAATAAATACTGCAGCCTCTTTTGACACAAGATAACCTTTGTAAATATTCCTGGATTACGACTATAAAACTTATAGCTTTTTGACTCATTTTCTACATTACAAAACTGAAGAAGAAATAAATCAAAGTTTGTGTAAATGATGGTATTATTGATATAAATATGGCTTAAGTTGGGATGCCCTACCAAAATGCAGAGAAAACAATTCAGCTAACTTCATGAAGGCAAAACCAATTAATGTGCAGTAGCTATTCTAGAGTTAAGATTCTTTTGTTGCTTTGTTCTTTTTCTGCCAGATGTCATTTCAAAGTAGTGCATAATTACTAATTTCTTCTTCGTCAACACCAAATCTTGCTCAAAAGGCTCTGATCTTTGAAGTTATCTTACTTGCTCGAACTAGACTAGAATAAGATCCATGAACTTGTGAGGGAAGTAATCATCAAGTTACCTTAACGAAGTTCCATATACTCCTGTCAGATTAGCCAACTTCTAAGAACTGCACCACACTCGCAGCAAATTCTTATGACTGGTTCACTTCGAAAGTAAGGATACAGGATATGATTTCAATGATTGAATAAAAGTTGAAGAAAGAAGAGTAATCCTTTTTATCTATGACGTTTAGCTTAGACTGATATTTTGGGAATTATATCCATGTTTCTGCTATAAAGAAATAATTTATATTCATCCTAGTGTATGTTTGTGATTGAAGCATGGTTATTGTTGTTGCATTTCATCTTGGAGTACTAATACCTCTATTTCTGTATGATGTCGGGATAAATGTAGAGTTTAAGATGATAATTTCATTTACATAAAATTCTAGTATGATAGTGAAAGAAAATATGAAAAAGATATTGAATAGCTAGCTTGATAGGAAAAACATCGCAACATGTGAACAATGATTTTGAAATTTTGGAAGTTACCGAAGTTGTATAGAACAAGATTTATTTGTGGAATGGTATGAAACATTTTGGTATGTCCCAAATGGAAGAGTGTCAAGGATTCAAGTAGACAGAGATGGTTGAATCAAAAGTTTACTCGATTGTCCGAATTTGAGTACCATAGCTTACTCAAGTAAGTTTGAGTGCTTCACTTCAAAACCTTATAAGTTATATGAGAAATATTCAAACATTATGTTTTCATTTTACGAGACTTACACGGGATTCTACTTCTGTCCAAATTATTAATTGCACTTACTTTAACAAAGGAGATGCATTTTAATTGTAATTTTCTTTTAGGGTTTTATATCTTTTATAATTATAGGCAAATTGCTATGAGCCATAATACTTTAAATATGATTTTTTGAACTCTGACTTAGTTTATCTAGAATAACTAAATCACTTTCTTTTTTCAGAGTGAAAAATAGTAAAAGTGACTTTCAAGAAACAAACCGTGCCATCTTTAGTCAGGCTAAAGTATTAGTTAAAGCATGACGTTGACATTATTACTGGCGATCTCTCTTGGCTCTGATAAGTTGCTTTGGTTCTAATATATGCAGCAGCACCTGCATCTGGAGGAGTAGCACCTGCAATTTCCTTAACCGACAATGCATTAATGCACTTGAATAAAATGAGGAATGATCGGAATGTGGACTTGTGTCTTAGAATTGGCGTTAAACAAGGGGGATGCTCGGGAATGTCATACACGATGGAGTTTGAAAAGCGAGAAAATGCTAGACCAGACGATTCAATCATTGAGTACAATGGATTTGTTATTGGTATGTGTGAATTTAATTTCTCATTTTCTAACATGACAGTCTTGGTTTCTTTTGCCAGAGAATGAATATCTTTTCACACCAAAGTTGGAGCAAATTTGCAGTTAATTTCCGTTTGATCTGTGTCCTTTTGCAAACCCTTAACTCCTTAGCATGGAAGAAGATAAATTCAGTGAAACAACCATACTTGTGTTAATCATGATACTCAACCTTCACTGTAGTTGATGTGATAAGTTAGTCGTGTTCGTTTAATGAGAAGACAATAAGATAAGTAAAAGGAAGTATGGATGGAGTGATTAGTTGGCCTGATAGATAAAAGAGGTGATAGATGCATTAGCAATTTAATGTGATGACCTCCATGTAAATTAAAGTGCAAAGAGTTTACAGGTTTTAACAGTCTTGTGGGGAAATAGAGAGGGGAGATCACTGCTCAAATGAAGTATAACTTTGCCATATAAACAATTTACAGAGTTTCACTTCACATCTCCATTGAAATTTTCACCGGACCTGTGCATAACGGGAGCTTAGTGCACTGGGCTTCCCTTTCTTTTCCATTGAATTTTTACTTTCAGGGATCTATTATGCTTCATACCTCGAAACTTGTGTGCTATGTAAAGTTTACTTGATTGATTATCTGATGCTGCTTGCGGTATATAATATTACCTATATTTAGCTCTTGTATGCTGCTAAGGCCTAGCAGTCTCATGCTATACCCATCTACTTAGATAATTTAGTTCACTTTCAGATGGAAGTTCACTGTGAGACAAATTATAATACCCTTGATTCAGTAAGTTCGCGTTGCCAATTTGTGCGGCTTCTTTTTACTCATGAAGTAGTTAAAGCTTATAGTGTTGGGTCCATACAAGAAACCAGTACTATTTTGCTCTTATATTTGTATGGTATGCGTGCTAGCTACTTGTGTCTGTTTTCTTTTCCACTGATTATTGACATTTATTTAAGAAATTTTTGTTGCATCGACTCTTTCTTGCAGTTTGTGATCCAAAAAGCCTTCTCTTCATCTTCGGAATGCAACTGGACTACAGCGATGCATTGATAGGCGGGGGCTTCTCTTTCAAAAATCCAAATGCTACGCAAACTTGTGGTTGTGGAAAATCGTTTACTGCTGAGATGTAAGAGCATGTAATCTTAGAAATGTACTACAACATTACATACTTGAACACCAACTGTAGTTTGCTTGGTCCTCTAGATATCGACAGACAGTAATGAAGATATGTTAAATCATATTATGTGCACAAGGGACTGTAACTTTTAAATGTGTAACTGGGAATGCATTTTATTCTTCCTGCACAAAATACTAAACATCTATGCCATGTCGATTTATGCTTCGTGGGGCAGAGCCGCAAGGTAACACGTGAACTCAATAGTTTTTGTCAGGATCTTGTATATGTATTTTTAAAACATTATTGAATTTATATAAATGATTGTGAATTCAGTTATTATTGTATATTAACTTGAGCTCATTATAGTGACCCATAAATTTCAAATCTTGAATCTGTTTTGTGGGGCAGAGCCACAAATCAATTTTCCTAATTTGGTCCATCATTGAAATGTATTCCATTTTAAAACTGTTTTCTTGTAAATATAATCCATAGCATAGTAAAAGCATATTTTTCAGTAGGAAAAAAAAGAAGTAATAGTTGCAAGTAGGGGTGGGCATGGTACGATATTGATATTGAGAGTGAAATGAGAGTGTTTTGGGTATGGGTAGAAAAGTAAGTGGGGTTGATTTAGGACTAGAGACGAGACTAAGAGCCTGTTTGGATGGGCTTTTAAGCTGGTCAAACTGGCTTAAAAGCCAGTTTTTGACTTATTAAAGTGTTTGGTAATTATCAAAGTGACTTATTTTAAGTCAGAAATGACTTATTTAAGCCAAAAGCTAAAAGCTAGGGGAGGGGAGCTTTTTTTTTTAAACTTAAAAGGCCTTTTATGTTGACCAAGTATATTACCTTTTTGCCCTTAATTCTTTTATACATTTCCCAAATTGCCCATATTGAATTTAACCCTAACATTTATTATTATTATTATTATTGTTATTGTTATTATTTTTATTATTATTATTGTTATTATTATATTATTATTATT